AAAAAAATACAATTGTTGTTTTTCTGAAGAAAAACAAAAACAAAAGTGACTGAGAACGAAAACCTGAAAAAAATTGGGAAAATCAGAAACCTGTGAACTTCTGACAGTTTCTGTTTCAATAGTAGGCCTACTATTAGCCTACTGCACAGTACAGCTTGGGTTGGCCTGACTGTGAAATACCAATTTGGGATTTATCACGCCAGGGGGGCGGGGTTTTTTTTGCAAAATGAAAGTATACCCACTTCTCCAGGCACCACTACACCACTGTAACACCCCTACTCTTACAATAAGTGGCATGGGATTTTGAATGACCACAGAGTCAGGACACCCATTTTAACGTCCCATCGAAAGACTGCACCCTATGCAAGGCAATGTCCCCAAATGTAATCAAGGTTTGAAATGATTGTTTTAGTCAAATATTAGGCTGTTTAGGCTTCTTGCGGTCAATTTGCAATCTAAAAATATTTGTTTTATTATGTTGTGGCCCCCCTGCCATCCGCGCAAGAAAAAATTGTCCCGCGTCTGAATCTAGTTGATCTAATGCATTTATGTATGATCGTACAATCAATGTCTTTTTACATTGTCTTATGTAATGTACTGTATACAGTGCATTCGGAAAGTATTCAGACCCCTTGACTTTTTCCACATTTTGTTACATTAGCCTTATTCTAAAACTGATAAAATTAATGTTTTTCCTCATCAATCTACACACAATACCCCATAATGACAAAGCAAAAACAAGTAAAACATTTTTGCAAATTTATAAAAAATAAACAGAAATACCTTATTTACATAAGCATTCAGAACAAAATTTCTGCAGCAATGAAGGTCCCCAAGAACACAGTGGCCTCCATCATTCTTGAATGGAAGAAGTTTGAAACCACCAAGACTCTTCCTAGAGCTGTCCACCCGGCCAAACTGAGCAATAGGGGGAGAAGGGCCTTGGTCAGGGAGATGACCAAGAACCCGATGGTCACTCTGACAGAGCTCCAGAGTTCCTCTGTGGAGATGGGAGAACCTTCCAGAAGGACAACCATCTCTGCAGCACTCTACCAATAAGTCCTTTATGGTAGAGTAGCCAGACGGAAGCCACTCCTTAGTAAAAGGAAGCCTGCTTGGAGTTTGCCAAAAGGCACCTAAATGACTCTCAGACCATGAGAAACAAGATTCTCTGGTTTGATGAAACCAAGATTGATCTCTTTGGCCTGAATGCCAAGCGTCATGTCTGGAGGAAACCTGGCACCATCCCTACAGTGAAGCATTGTGGTGGTAGCATCATGCTGTGTTGATGTTTTTCAGCGGCATGGCCTGGGAGACGTGTCAGGATCGAGGGAAAGATGAACAGAGCAAAGTACAGAGAGATCCTTGATGAAAGTCTGCTCCAGAGTGCTCAGGATCTCAGACTGGGGTGAAGGTTCACCTTCCAACAGGACAACGACCCTAAGCACACAGCCAAGACAATGCAGGAGTGGCTTCGGGACAAGTCTCTGAATGTCCTTGAGTGGCCCAGCCAGAGCCCGGACTTGAACATCTCTGGAGAGACCTGAAAATATCTGTGCAGCGATGCTCCCCATCCAACCTGACAGAGCTTGAGAGGTTCTGCAGAGAAGAATAGGAGAAACTCCCCAAATACAGGTGTACCAAGCTTGTAGCGTCATACCCAAGAAGACTCGAGGCTGTAATCGATGCTGAAAATGCTTCAACAAAGTACTGAGTAAAGGGTCTGAATACTTATGCAAATGTGATATCAGTTTTTTATTTTGAATAAATTAGCAACATTTTCTAAAAACCTGTTTTTGCTTTGTCAATATGGGGTATTGTGCGTAGATTGATGAGGGGGGAAAACAATTTAATCCATTTAGAATAAGGCTGTAACATAACAAAATGTGGAGTAAGTCAAGGTGTTTGAATACTTTCCAAATGCACTGTAAATCATTGACATTTATAATTTCCATGCACATTCTCTAAGACTGTGGTAAATGTGTATAAAGTAATTGTAGTAAATATGCATACCATTTTGTATTGACACATTTATTTATTATCATCATGGATGGATGCATTGACAAATGTTAGAGAATAAAACTTGAACACTGCATCAGCATGAAGGCCAGTGGGCTGAACAATATTAAGGTTTCACTGGCATACACCATAAACCACATCTGCCATGAAAGCTTGTGAGAAAATAAGTTAAGGCCACTTGAGTCAAAGTTGCCACATGATAAAACATTACAAACATTAAGATACATTTAGAATCATGTCAAACGGCAACTATATGATGAAGTATGGCAAGACATGATATCGGTATGATATGGCCTGGTGTATCACATTATACTTAAAATAAGTTAAGTTAATAATTAATTCTATACACATCAAGATGTACATCAAAAACAATTACAAAAAATAACCTGTCTCGTCAAAAATCAGCATGCATGCTCAGACCTACAGTACATATGCATAATTGCAATGTACACAAATTCAAGACTACAGAACACATACCTTCATGGAAATGGTTCATTATGATAACAAAACCAGTGGCTGTGTTGACCATACATGCATCAGATGAAGTTGTCCCTCTTGTAATTATCGCAAATAATTTTACCAACATAAAGCTCAACTATAGGCTACCATGTCAGCGTGAAGTATTGGCACTGCAAAGGGCAATTATGGTTCATAACCTAGACATGGTTGTTGTGGTCAGTCAGTCAATAGATAGACTACATTAACTCTGGATTTCCTCTATGTAATTAACGTTGTACAATCAGTGTGCTAACATTGATATGAAAGGTATCCAAACATTCAAGTTTCACAAATAAAGTGAAGTCCCGTCAAGGGCTTCTTGTACCACACAGGCACTGAAGACACTAGACTCATGCTTTCAATAAGACATTGAAAATTACCAATAAAGGACAGCAGCACGAATTCAACTGAAGGAGTTTTTGGACTTTAAATGGGACATAGCTCCTACCAAAATTCAACATCTGAAATGTGGACCTTTGGAAAGTCTGTATTGTTTTTGCACATTTCAAACACTGTTTAGCGGACAGAAAATGTCACCCGAATAAAAAGGCAGCTTTTGGACAAATCATGTCAATTTCTTACCCATTTCAAGACATGATTGAGTTTAAAGTTTTATTAGTCATAGGTATGGGATACACATGGTATATGCCAAGGTTATTATCGTTTTGTGGTTTAATATTCGTTTTTATTTATATGGTTTGTTGTTTTTAATTTGAAATTCAGTTTAGTTTCAGTTAGTTCAGACTTGATTTACTCGTTTTTATTTAGTTTCAGTTTGATAAAAATATTTCTATTTTGTTTTAGAATTAGGGACAGAAAGCAGCCTATGCGTGGGCAGCTAGGAGCCATTTATGTGTTGTAGGCCTATAGTTCGTGTTTTTGGGGGGGATGTCACTTCTTGCCGGGGGGGCGGCAGGGTGTAATACAGTAATACATAAGGTGATATGCCTAACATCTCTGTATCATGATGGCTTCTGTGAGAGCATGGGCAACACCATTGAGGCCATCGCCATCTTGGAATAGTACATTTAATTATTCACAAGTAAACTTCATTGGCTGATCCCTCCCGATGACCCGGCTATCACGACTTCAACCGGGTCATCAGGTGGGATAAGCCAATTAAGTTTATTTGTGAAGAAGTAAATGTACTATTTCAAGATGGAGATGGCCTCAATGGTGCTGCCCATGCTCTCAGCGATGCCATCATGACACATATGTTGTGTCTATCCAAGTCTATGCCCTGGATAGAGTTTGGGAAACCCTACACTAGAGGACCATACAACTCCATGGCCAGGAGATAGGTTTGGTGAGGTTTAAATTATAAATCAATCCTAATGTGACTTGGATTTAAAAGGATAAGCACCTAGACTGGTGCAAGAAATCTCTTGCCCATGTTTACACCAATCCAATGCTTTTTAAAACTTTAGTAGTAGATGTAAGATGAATCAAGTACCTTTACCTGACAAAGAAAGGAAAAAACAAATTAAGTCATGGCACATTTGACATGTTATGTTTATGTAATATTAAAACATGCATCACTGACTAACCCATTCAAATAGGGTTAATAAAAATGGCTGCAACAACAGCAAAAACATAAGCAATTCAACACTTATTCACAAATCTATCAGTTCACAGCCAGCCAGCTTGTGTGTGTGTTTCTGTTCAAATCAAACAAGATTTTCTGGTTTATCTTCAAGAAGACTGCGTTCCAGAGAGGTGGTCGTTCAGTTTCTCAAGCCTGATGACAGTTGTCCATGGACAGAGAATATTCTCTCCACGAACGCTTGGGATGCAGGGGCAGAAACCAGATCCAGTGGCACAGTTTTGGATTAACAGCCATCCTTGCCTGCCAGAACTGAAGAGGTGACTCTTTCTTTCTTTCTCGCTTTCTCCCTCTTCCCCAGTAGTAGTTGATTGCAAGTGTGCCTCAAGGTTAAGGCACGGCACCACATCAGACAGCGACTGGCTGTCAGTCTGAAGTTGGTCGGTGTAGATTGCGAACGGCTCCAAATTCACAAGCTGTTCTAGCTTGGCCCAGTCACGCTCTGTGCTCGCTCTCAGATTTCTTCCTTGTTTGCTAGTGATAGCGATGCACAAACTAGGCCTATTTGAAACATCGGCATCTACTCGCAGCACTTACCCGCCAGATTCAGAAGCTCAAAAACCCTATTAGAAAAAAATGCTTAAATCCCATTAGATTTTAAAATAATTTATGATGGCTTCTATTTTATTTATTTTAGTTAGTTTTGCAGTCAATGATACGTTTCAGTATAGTTTGTTTTGATTTGTTTACTATAGTTTTTCCAATTTTAGTTTTAATTTTACTATAATAACCTTGGTATACACCGTCCAATTAAATGCTTACTTGCAGGTTCCTTCTCAACAATGCAACAATAATAAGAAATGATAAAAGATAACAAACATAAGTCATGAGGATGAGAGTAAAAGAGTCAAAAACTCATGAGCACGTCTCGCTCCTGTACACTGGTGTAGAATGGCTTCCCAAATACAAAGGAGTGCAGTCCAGCCCTCAGCTTCTCAGCAAAAGCCATGACGATATTCAGGTCACCTTCCACCATCAGGTCGAGGTCTGTCTTCAAGCTGCGCAAGGAGCGGAAAGGCTTCTTTCCCTTTTGCCTGTGGGTGGGGAATTCAAGCTTATCAAAAGTTGTACTACATGGTGTGCTGCTGTGCTGGGGCAAAAGTAATATTGAAACCAATTACATCTGCTTCCATAGTGGGAGGTAACTTACGTTTCATCTTCAATGTATTTGAGTAGTGTGAGCGCCTTTCTGTGAAGGATCAGCAAGAACTGGGCTAAGTAAGTACTTCGCAGATTGAGGCCTGGCTTCAGCATGAACACCTGGGAATAAAACCGAGAATCAACTATTATTGTTGGCCCTGATAAGCCAACAAAGGCTGACATATGATGAGACCATTTTTCAGCACCACAAATATTGTTGCTTCCTTTGTGCTGGTGTCTTACCTCATCTATAAATAACTTCACCAGGGTATCTTTATGCATAACGTCCTGAAAGATATTCCTGATAATAGAGTGGAGCTTTTAGTGGTCATAAAAACAGAATAACATCCACGTCTTTCATTAATGTTAATTTAAACAAATTTGATACATATGAAATAAATCAAGCAATGCTGTTAGGCAGCTAAATAAACACAGGCAATTCCAATCTAATTGGAATAACAGAACAGGAGAGAAGAAAGCATACAGGTCGGGGGTGAAGGACTCGTCGGTGTGAATGACAGCGTCGGGGGCGATGTCATCCTCGCTGGCCGCCTTCCAGAGCGCGCTGAGCTCAGAGCGCATGTAGAGGCGCTGGTTGTACGTGTGCTCATGGCAGGGTGGCATCTGCTTCACCGTGTTGATGTCCACGTCAACGTGCGTGGTCGGGTAGGGCGAGTACAGCACCTGGCGGAAGGGCAAGACGAAGCTGCCCGTGGAGTCCTGGGTTTGGAGAAAGGAGGGGGAGCGTAATGAGGAGGGCAGTCTGTTAAGCTATGACCTTTTGTTAATTTTTTGAGGCCTTGGTTTGAAAAAAAAATACTTCATTTAAATTATTAATTTGCATGCCCTTACAATGGGATAATCTAGATGTGAGAAAACAAAATGTTATGTAACCCTCATTGAACACATTGGACCGAAGATAATTATTAGTTTATGATTTCAAACAGGTGCGTTAGTGCTGGCCAAAAAATAAAGCCTGCACACCCACTAGCTCTCCAGGACCAGCATTAGAGAACTGTAATTTAGAGTGGCGTGGTGGGGTACCTTGAGGAGACCTTGTACAAACAGTCCTGTGTCGTACTTGAAAGAGGAGTCAGCTTTACAGAGCCTAGAGCACTTCCTCTCAGCAGGGGTGAGGAAGAGGCACAGTGTGCGCACTATCTAGAGCACAAGAAAACACAAATAAATATCAACGTGGAATACCTCACATCACATCCGCATTTCAGTGAGGGAGAGAGGATTTGGAGGAGAGTGTGGGTGTGTGTTAACCTGTCATGTCAGATTTTGTATGCTGCAATTTTTTGTAGATACACAATAACATATGCAGACACGTCTGTGTGTAGAACATTTTTATACAACTACTGTGTGCATGAGTGTGAATACATATGCTGATACAGCAGCCAATGTATGCATGCGGAAAGTATTCAGACCCCTTGACTTTTTCCACATTTTGTTACGTTACAGCCTTGTTCTAAAATGGATTAAATACAAAGTTCCTCAGCAATCTACACAAAATACCCCATAATGACAAAGCGAAAACAGGTTTAGAAATCTTTGCAAATTTACAAAAAATAGAAATACCTTAGTATAAGTATTCAGACCCTTTGCTATGAGACTAAAAGTTGAGCTCAGGTAAATCCTGTTTCCATTGATCATCCTTGAGATGTTTCTACAACTTAATTGGAGTCCACCTGTGGTAAATTCAATTGATTGGACATTATTTGGAAAGGCACACATCTGTCTATATAAGGCCCCACAGTTGACAGTGCATGTCAGAGCAAAAACCAAGCCATGAGGTCGAAGGAATTGTCCGTAGAGCTCCGAGACAGGATTGTGTCGAGCCACAGATCTGGGGAAGGGTACCAAAAAATTTCTGCAGCATTGAAGGTCCCCAAGAACACAGTGGCCATCATTCTTAAATGGAAGAAGTTTGGAACCACCAAGACTCTTCCTAGAGCTGGCCACCCGGCCAAACTGAGAAATCGGGGGAGAAGGGCCTTGGTGAGGGAGGTGACCAAGAACCCGATCGTCATTTTGACAGAGCTCTAGAGTTCTTCTATGGAGATGGGATAACCTTCCAGAAGGACAACCATCTCTGCAGCACTCCACCAGTAAGGCCTTTATGGTAGAGTGGCCAGACGGAAGCCACTCATCAGTAAAAAGGCACATGACAGCCCGCTTGGAGGAAACCTGGCACCATCCCTACGGTGAAGCCTGGTGGTGGCAGCATCATGCTGTGGGGATGTTTTTCAGCAGAAGGGCTGGGGAGACTAGTCAGGATCGAGAGATCCTTGATGAAAACCTGCTCCAGAGCGCTCAGGACCTCAGACTGGGGTGAAGGTTCACCTTCCAACAGGACAACGACCCTAAGCACACAGCTAAGACAACACAGGAGTGGCTTCGGGACAAGTCTCTGAATATCCTTGAGTGGCCCAGCCAGAGCCCGGACTTGAACAGGAGAGACCTGAAAATAGCTGTGCAGCCAAGCTCCCCATCCAACCTGCCAGAGCTTGAGAGGATCTGCAGAGAATAATTGGAGAAACTCCCCAAATACAGGTGTGCCAAGCTTGTAGTGTCATACCCAAGAAGACTCGATGCTGTAATCGCTGCCAAAGGTGCTTCAACAAAGTACTGAGTAAAGGGTCTGAATACTTATGTAAATGTGATATTTCAGTTTTTAATTTTTAATAAATTTGCAAAAATGTCTAAAAACCTGTTTTTACTTTGTCATTATGGGGTATTTTGTGTAGATTGATGAGGGGAAAAAAACTATTTAATCAATTTTAGAATAAGGCTGTAACGTAACAAAATGTGGAAAAAGTCAAGGGGTCTGAATACTTTCCAAAGGCACTGTATGTATGTTTTGAGCACAGAGTATTGGCAATCTGTCAGTACCTTGTTGACTTTGTCTGGGTTGCTTCCGACCACCATGGAGCAGCCACACGTTTGGAGATGAGAACTGATTGCCCTGAGAGACGGAGGCAATTTCATGTGTGTGTATTTAAAAAAATAAATGACAAGGATGAGGAATAGTCACTTGATATTAATTTAGCATAATGAGCAACATTAAAATGTAATGAAATGTGTCCACGTGTGTATGTGTTTGTCATAAAAATATGACTTTAATATAGGTCTCTAAAGTGACATAAGTGTTTCCTGACTACTGCAATAACACTTAAAAGCTATGTAAAATAAATTATGACTTGCAGTGCATTTGTCATCTCCACAGGCAGTTAAGATAATTATGTTTAGACAGATCTGTCAGGGGGTGCATAACTGCATTCCACTGATAACTACAACCTCATCACAAATATAGTGTGCAAGGTAAGCAATGTGTACCTAATGGACCTGCCCAGCTTGGACAACAACAGAGAGAAAAGCTGCTAACCTGAAGGAGAGTGAAACATTTTTTTAACCCTGTGTCTTTCCCAGAAAAAGAAAAGCAGGGGCACTCAAGGTTGTTTCTTGATAATGTGCAGGGTTTTCCACTTGGTGGCTACATTAGTTAATAGAGATTACTTATCAGTCTCAGAGCTCAATTTAATCAACACTGCATTGCAGTATTTATAATTTTCCTATGGTTAAATTGTCACAGAATGGTTTTGGGTAGTGTAAAAATAAAAATAAAATAATAAATAAATAAACGTAGATGTAACTTAAATGCTTCCAATTTTCAGAATGAAGCAGGTAGGCCTACAATAAAAAAAAGAGTGCTTACTTATGCAGGAAATCTTCATGGCAGCTGTCTCCAATGTCATCATCATTTAGGACAGTGTCCTTGATCTAACACAGATGGAACAAACAGAGTTCTTTGGTGAAATAGTCCTCAACATGAAGGACAAGATAAAAAGGTTTGCCTACTGTAACTGTAGTGAGACATACAGAGAGTAGTTCAAAAATCAAATCAAATTTTACTTGTCACATGCGCCGAATACAACAGGTGTAGTAGACCTTACAGTGAAACGCTTACTTACAAGCCCTTAACCAACAATGCAGTTAAGAAAAAATAACTGTTAAAGTACAGTGGGGGAAAAAAGTATTTAGTCAGCCACCAATTGTGCAAGTTCTCCCACTTAAAAAGATGAGGCCTGTAATTTTCATCATAGGTACACGTCAACTATGAAAAATTCCAGAAAATCACATTGTAGGATTTTTTATGAATTTATTTGCAAATGATGGTGGAAAATAAGTATTTGGTCACCTACAAACAAGCAAGATTTCTGGCTCTCACAGACCTGTAACTTCTTCTTTAAGAGGCTCCTCTGTCCTCTACTCGTTACCTGTATTAATGGCACCTGTTTGAACTTGTTATCAGTATAAAAGACACCTGTCCACAACCTCAAACAGTCACACTCCAAACTCCACTATGGCCAAGATCAAAGAGCTGTCAAAGGACACCAGAAACAAAATTGTAGACCTGCACCAGGCTGGGAAGACTGAATCTGCAATAGGTAAGCAGCTTGGTTTGAAGAAATCAACTGTGGGAGCAATTATTAGGAAATGGAAGACATACAAGACCACTGATAATCTCCCTCCATCTGGGGCTCCACGCAAGATCTCACCCCATAGGGTCATAATGAATTATAAAGCAATTTCCAAAGTCCTATGTAACAATGTTGCTATTGTAATAATCACAAGTTACTACACATGTATAAGAACTTGAGTGTTACTGTATTACCTTGTCTCACTCATTATGGAAATATATTTTTTTGTGATTTTAAAGCTGCAAAAGTGGTCTACTCTAATGTTGAGGTGATTCCATGTCCATCATGTAATTAATTGTAAGCTATAGGCTATATTAAGATTCATATCTAAGAGCCCTCCAAACCATGTGCTTATGATCATATATTTAGACTAATTCAACTACATGTTGTAGTTTTTGGTTCTTCATCAAATATTTGGCAGCCATCATATATATATATATATATATATATATATATATATATATATATATATATATATATATATATATATATATATATATATATATATATATATATATATATATAGTGATGAGTGAGAGGGTGGGTGTGTGCGTGAAGGCCGGTATATTCCTGCTCGTTGGCTACATCTGCTGGCCTGGAGAGAGGATGGCCCGGAAGGGTAAGTAAGAGCCTAATTACACACACCTGAATATAATTAGCTTGGAGGTTGGGTGGTGGCTGTTTTAACCTGGCTTTGGCCAGGTCGGTTTTTTGGTCTGGAGCAGCAAGAGCTGACATGCAGGGCTCTCCAACACTGGGAGGGATATCGAACCCAACTGGACAGGAACATACAAGATGTTACTTGGCCGTGGACCTGACCCAAGTAAGGACCAGACTGTTGGATTTTTATTTTATTTTGTTGGATACGCCAGTAAACAGCTTAGCTGTCCGGTAGCAGAGAGGGACTGGAAGACCCGTGTAGAAAGGCCCAAAGACGAGCTAGGTTTTGGTTTGGTTTTATTGTTACCCAGCGCTGTGGCGCATTCTGTTGTTTTGTTCCCTGAATAAAAGTCCTGGGTCGTTTCCAGAAAGGTCCATTTTGGTCTATGCTTGTGTTACTTCACACTCATCAGTTGTTGGCCAGCCCGCCCCTACACTATCTAACTTGCATATATTCAAATACCTTCAAATATTATTTGTTGCTCTGAGACCTGTTTTTGAACATTAAATAAAATAGTTACCTTTTACTTGAAACTATATTCGACTACCTCGAGTATTTGAAAAGTTGGTATTTTCAAATAAACTACAAAATACAACAATTTTCTTCACAGGTCTTCTTGAAACCCATTGAAAACCTGTGGTTAGAATTGAAGAGGACAGTCCATAAGCCCAGACCTAGGATATCAAGGATCTGGAAGGAGGAATGGTCTAAGAGCCATCCCAATGTGTTCTCCAACTCATAAAACATTTTAGAAAAAGGCTCAGTGCCGTTATCCTTGCAAGGTGAGGTATTGAAAACAGGGGTGTCAATAGATGAGAAAACTATCTTTCTGAAAAATTGTATTAGTATAAAATTATTTTCCAATTTTTTTTAGCATACAATATAGCTCAGTATTTGAATGATTTATTTTATAGTCATTTTTGCTCATCTTTATCAAGGATGTCAATTACAGACCCCACTAACTTTTAAAAGCAAAGTTGCAACATAAATGGGTCTGCGGAGTATAGTGAGCTCTACTGTATTTTATGCACAGTGCTGTTTTATATGATGAAAGTGTTGCCAAATGTATATGATTGCTTCTGATACTCACGTCAATGTCCTCTGGGACACTGTGTGTCTTCATGGAGGACAGCAGCTCCATGATGGGGACAATCTCTGATGTCAGCACAGAAATGATGTTGTAGCCCTGTATGTCAATGACAAATACCGGCTTGGTGATTCAGGTGAATGTGCTGGGCTATAACAAATGTCAATTTCCCTAGGAATGGATGGAGAAACACTGCCTTAAGGGGATGGCCTAGTAGGGGGTAGACTTGGAACTTAGCATCTGAACACTTACTTTCTGCATCCAGATGCGTCCCTTGCGGATGATGTGTTTGAGCCTCTCCACACAGACAGTGTGCAGGGGCAGGTAGAAGGCCAGCTCTGTCTGTGGAAGGATGATGGACAGGGCACACGTGTTCTTGTCACCCTTCAGCTCGCCGTCGAAGATCAGCGAGACTATGATGACGCCCTTCTCAGCTAGGACGAAGAACTTGACGTCCACCGCTCCACACTCGGCGCTGCGCAGAATCTCCCCGTTCAGCGTGTGATTGGCCAGGAAGGTGACTTCACCGTCACTCAGCAACAGCGGCTGCTCGCACCTGGGAGCCCAGATGTGGCGCACCCGCGGGCCCAGGATGTTGTCCCAGTAGGCAAAGGTGGCGGCGAGGAGAGGACATTCTCCTTCGACAGTCACCTCTGTCTTAGCCACTGCGGGCGACTGAGGTGGGCCGGAAGACATGTTGTTACTGTACCTGGGGGGGGGGGGGGGGGGGGAGACATGTTACTGTACCTGGGGGGGGAGACATGTTACTGTACCTGGGGGGGGGGGGGGGGGGGGGGAGACATGTTACTGTACCTGGGGGGGGGGGGAGACATGTTACTGTACCTGGGGGGGGGGGGGGGAGACATGTTACTGTACCTGGGGGGGGGGGGAGACATGTTACTGTACCTGGGGACGGGACATGTTACTGTACCTGGGGGGGGGGGGGGAGACATGTTACTGTACCTGGGGGGGGGGGGGGAGAGACATGTTACTGTACCTGGGGGGGGGGGGGGGGAGAGACATGTTACTGTACCTGGGGGGGGGTGGGGAGAGACATGTTACTGTACCTGGGGGGGGGGGGGGGGAGAGACATGTTACTGTACCTGGGGGGGGGGGGGGGGGGGGGGAGACATGTTACTGTACCTGGGGGGTACAGTAACATGTTCCAGAAAGGTGGAACATAGACCTGGCTGGTAGAATTATGCATCTATTTATTATTCAAGCCATCTTATAGGAAGAGAAAAATAGACGTCAGACAAATATAGTACATTCCACAAACTAACAATACTGAACTCTAGCACCTTCATAAATACAAATGTCCATTAAAAACAGGCAAGTTTAGTCTCATAGTGTATAAGTCCACACAAGACACACTGTTTAACAATCTAAAATATTAAAGAAATTGGTGTGTATTTTCAAGTGTTGTGTTTGAGACCACCTAAAGCGAGACCGATTCAAGACCGGAGCAAATCGAGTCAAGACCATGATTGTAATTTTGTCAAATCACCACCATAATAACTTTGAACTGGACTGTGTGTTTACAGGCAGTTGCAACAGCTCGACTTTAAATCATTTGAACGCATTCGCCAAAAGCCACAATATACACCCGAATGGATTTCTGCAAATATGTAAACACCACAGGAGTCCTCTTACATTTGGGAACTTTACAGTCCTACTGATCAAACAACCATGAAAAGGTAGGCTGTCTCTCCCTCAGTTATGCACATCAACAACTAATGCTAGCCAGAGCAAGATAAGCTAAAATGAAGGAACATTAGATAAACCCTCAAAAATGTTCAGCTAGTTGGCCGTCAAAACTTGCACTGATTAACAACAGGGAATTGTAGCCTCCTCGTCCTTCCGCAGCTTGCCTGCCAATGCATGCTTGTCCCAACCAAGCACCCAAGCTAATTTTACTCGCTGTAGCAGAGCTGGTTAGGCTGTTTACATGTTATCTAGAGCGTTCTTGACTAACTATTACTTTTTTTTGCCTACATTTACTGGGGGCTCTGAGGTACCGGAACACATTGAGAGAAAAAAAGGTGTCAAACAATGTAGCAGTCAAGTAGCCTACTATCTATGGTGGTGAAACGGACAGCACTCTCTAAGGTGCTAATTAATTCAAAGCATTTTAGACGTCACTGCAGTATGCCTACATACTTGAGTGTAGCTGCGGGGCTTACACAAGTCCGAATTTCTTATAGCCTAATTTTCTAGACATCAATGTACAGCAACATTTTTAGACAACACTGCAGAACACCCGCCATATGCACACATACTCTGCTGTGGGGCTTACAAGACCCGAATTTCATATAATTTCCAAGACATCAATGTAGCAGTAGAACAAATCACAATATCGGAATAACTTCAAATAAAATAAATCAATGTAGGCTACAGCAGAACACACATATCAGAATATATAGGCCTCCTGCCTATGTGATATGAAGCACATATTCAGATTACCTTCACACCGCCCGGGCAACGAAGGAGTGGCTTCGTAAGAAGCATTTCAAGGTCCTGGAGTGGCCTAGCCAGTCTCCAGATCTCAACCCCATAGAAAATCTTTGGAGGGAGTTGAAAGTCTGTGTTGCCCAGCGACAGCCCCAAAACATCACTGCTCTAGAGGAGATCTGCATGGAGGAATGGGCCAAAATACCAGTGTGTGAAAACCTTGTGAAGACTTACAGAAAACGTTTGACCTGTGTCATTGCCAACAAAGGGTATATAACGAAGTATTGAGAAACTTTTGTTATTGACCAAATACTTATTTTCCACCATAATTTGCAAATAAATTCATAAAAAATCCTACAATGTGATTTTCTGGATTTATTTTTCTCATTTTGTCTGTCATAGTTGACGTGTACCTATGATGAAAATTACAGGCCTCTCTCAACTTTTTAAGTGGGAGAACTTGCACAATTGGTTGCTGACTAAATACTTTTTTTCCCCACTGTACGTAGGGACCTCTTCACTAGCTGGCCACCACTACCAAGACCTGTGTCAAGATCAGCTACTTACCCCACTGACCCTCCCCATAACCTCTATGTACACACAGAAGGTCACCGCACTTTTACATGGTCTTTCTGGGAGGCGGGAGAAATAACGAGGAGTCAACTTGATTTAATGCTGATTAATAATAAATAAATCATGCCGCGAGTGGTACCGGATCCAGGCAAATAGGTGCCGGATCAAACAAAGTCAAATCTGAGAGGTGCCGGATCCTGTTCCAGCAGGATCCAGCTCAAATTAAGCACTGGTTGAGTCAAATAGAACCTATTTTTAAAACCTCTTATGAAGTTGGTTTTGTAGCATAAACTGGGAATTTGATATTTTTGACTGATATTATGATGGTCTGTTTGTTTCATATCTGCAAAGTAGTTAAAAACGTTGTCAGTTCCACTTTAAGTGCTAAATGTTTCTTGCAATGGGTACATTGCAACTCTTGGAGTTGCAATGATCATAAGAATGGTGAGGAATCAGCCCAGAGCTACACGGGAGGATCTTGTCAATGATCTCAAGGCAGTTGGGACCATAGTCACCAAGAAAACAATTGGTAACACACTATGTCGTGAAGGACTGAAATCCTGCAGCGCCCGCAAGGTCCCCCTGCTCAAGAAAGCACATATACAGGGCCGTCTGAAGTTTGCCAATGAACATCTGAATGATTCAGAGGAGAACTGGGTGAAAGTGTTGTCGTCAGATGAGACCAAAACCGAGCTCTTTAGCATCAACTCAACTCGCCGTGTTTGGAGGAGGAGGAATGCTGCCTATGACCCCAAGAACACCATCCCCACCGTCAAACATGGAGGTGGAAGCATTATGCTTTGGGGGTGTTTTTCTGCTAAGGGGACGGGACAACTTCACCGCATCAAAGGGACGATGGACAGGGCCATGTACCGTCAAATCTTGGGTGAGAACCTCCTTCCCTCAGCCAGGGCATTGAAAATGGGTTGTGGATGGGTATTCCAGCATGACAATGACCCAAAACACACTAGCCAGTCTCCAGACCTTAATCTCATAGAACATCTGTGGAGGGAGCTGAAGGTTCGAGTTGCCAAACGTCAGCCTCGAAACCTTAATGACTTGGAGAAGATCTGCAAAGAGGAGTGGAACAAAATCCCTCCTGAGATGTGTGCAAACCTGGTGGCCAACTACAAGAAACGTCTGACCTCTGATTGCCAACAAGGGTTTTCCACCAAGTACTAAGTCATGTTTTGCAGAGGGGTCAAATACTTATTTCCCTCATTAAAATGCAAATCAATTTATAACATTTTTGACATGTGTTAGAAATTGCGTAATTCAAATCTGGTATTGGAATAAGAATCAAGAGATCTTCAATCCAAGCTAAATTTATTATATGCAAAATGTAGGTATGATATAAGTATGAAGGTTCGTATATACGGGTCCACTGAAATACCACGCAGGGCACTCAGAGAATTAATCCATTGTTACAGGTTCTTCTTCAAATACTCTGACAGAGATAGTTCCCAATCTCTGCTGGCCAATCAGAGTAGAGACTGAGCGTGGTTTAGACTTACTCAGCCAATCCGTTTGCGCACGGGCTGGTCCCAGTCCCTTGGCGCATCCCTGTTGCCAGGCATAAGTTTTTATCATAACAACCTGTGGAGTTAGCACTTTTTTTTGCAGGACCCATGTCCTTGGACGGTTCACAGAACACAAAGAAGCAGTGTAGTCTAGTATTTGGAGACACAAATTCTTATCTCATCTTACCCCCTAACGTTCCACACATGAATAACAGCCTGTTATGTGAAACAATTTATATCAGTATAGTACAAACCTATGCTTATCATTAATGCATTCCTTCTAAGCTATTCATCACATACAGATCCAATTATTAGAAAATAGAACCCCACACATGCATTTTTCTGGATTTTTTTTTTGTTATTCTGTCTCTCACTATTCAAATAAACCTACCATTAAAATTGTAGACTGATCATTTCTTTGTCAGTGGGCAAACGTACAAAATCAGCAGGGGATCAAATACTTTTTTCCCTCACTGTATACGAGTGCGCTGGTATTACGGTTGCTGTCCTTTCAGAATCACGAACCTGTCACACACTGAAGGCCTATTGGTTCGCTACTGCGCACACATGTCTATAATAGATATAAAGGCTGTTAAGATATTCATGTTTCAAGAAAGGATTATATATAGCTATAGCCTGGTGAAGCGGTTTTATGCGCTGACTGAATGGAAGCTGATAATTATGATTTTTACTTAGCTGGTCTCGGGAAGAAATTACGAGTCCTCACTGTCGGAGACCGAGTACAAACGTATCCGACACAAAGACAACACCGAGACACTCTGTGGTCTCGAAACCAGACTTTACAACACTGGTATTTTCTGTAATTCAGTGCTCATCTGTAAAAGAGACCTTGGTTTCAGTATGACTCCCTGATCAAATAAAGGTTAAATAAAATAATATATTTTGACAGCTCAGTCATCTGTCAAGTACTGGGGATAGCTAGCTAGCTAGCTAGCTAGCTGGGTTACCGTTATCTCTCGAAAACTCTAGGCAGCAATCAGCTTCGCCCACGACTGGCTCATGTGAACTACAATCCCGACGCAGTGTTTTAACGTTTAGAAACGTCAATAATAATTGCTTGCGATACGGCTTTCGAAACATATGGCCCTGATCTTGCATCCGCGAGAATGAAACCTTCAAATAAAAGAGATACACTTACTGTAGCAGTTCGGTACAGATTCATACAGCTATGGGTGCCTCCATCCAACAAAACTACACTTTTGCTACACGTCCACACAGCCGTTAGGTGTGCGGTGCATGTTAGATGGCTAATTAGCACAAGTGGCCTCTTGTCTTCTGTCTGTTTTATGTAAACAAGCGCTGTAACATGTTGATATGGCCTGTGTGGGAACACTAACCCTAACCATATCAAGGTGTGTATCAATTTAACCTTAAGTTTTGTTAAATTATTTCTTGCTGATATGAAAGATAAGGTCCTTTCACATCCGAAACCGTACCGTAAACTATGACTGTTAATGTTCAGATTGAGCGTCGGGGTCAACCAAACTCCTCTGAAGACGTCTTCCTCCAATGACTCTTAGCTATGCGTAATGGTACTGATGATCAAAGACTCGGTTACTGCCTACAACAAGTATTCAAGGTTATGTTTTTCAGGGGTTTAATACATGTGAAACATAAAAGGCGAACTACACATCTGAATACAGAGCCAGTCAGGCTGATCATTATTAGTTAGGCGTATGCATCCATCACTATGCATTATCAGCAGTAGCTAGCTAGCCAAGCTGTAACATTAGTGCATATAGTGTTGGTAAACGTGTTGTAAATAGAAACTGAATACATGTTCAATTATATCTGCATTTAAAAGAGGGGTTACTCACCAAAGTCTCACCGTATTTTGTTTGTAGCTCGCATGAAGAGTATGGTATGACGGCATAAACATATGTTAAAAGTGCATTCCGCCACCTACTGTGTGGGGTGTAAACTGGGGCACGTTAAACAGAGAGGAAGTGAGAGGCCCGACTCGGCGGAAAAGCTGTCTACCTCCCATTGTTTGGGCGGAGAGACATTTTATTTTTATTTATTTTTTAATTCACCTTTATTTAACCAGGTAAGCCAGTTGAGAACAAGTTCTCATTTACAACTGCGACCTGGCCAAGATAAAGCAAAGCAGTGCGATAAAAACAACAACACAGAGTTACATATGGGGTAAAACAAAACAAAGTCAAAAATACAACAGAAATAAATATATATACAGTGTGTGCAAATGTAGCAAGTTATGGAGGTCAGGCAATAAATAGGCTATAGTGCAAAATAATTACAATTAGTATTAACACTGGAATGATAGATGTGCAAGAGATGATGTGCAAATAGAGATACTGGGGTACAAATGAGCAAAATAAATAACAATATAGGGATGAGGTATTTGGGCGGGCTAATTTCAGATGGGCTGTGTACAGGTGCAGTGATTGGTAAGGTGCTCTGACAACTGATGCTTAAAGTTAGTGAGGGAGATAAGTGTCTCCAGCTTCAGAGATTTTTGCAATTTGTTCCAGTCATTGGCAGCAGAGAACTGGAAGGAATGGCGGCCAAAGGAGGTGTTGGCTTTGGGGATGACCAGTGAGATATACCTGCTGGAGCGCATACTACGGGTGGGTGTTGCTATGGTGACCAATGAGCTAAGATAAGGCGGGGATTTGCCTAGCAGTGATTTATAGATGGCCTGGAGCCAGTGGGTTTGGCGACGAATATGTAGTGAGGACCAGCCAACAAGAGCGTACAGGTCACAGTGGTGGGTAGTATATGGGGCTTTGGAGACAAAACGGATGGCACTGTGATAGACTACATCTAATTTGCTGAGTAGAGTGTTGGAGGCTATTTTGTAAATGACATCGCCAAAGTCAAGGATCGGTAGGATAGTCAGTTTTACGAGGGCATGTTTGGCAGCATGAGTGAAGGAGGCTTTGTTGCGAAATAAGAAACCGATTCTAGATTTAACTTTGGATTGGAGATTCTTAATGTGAGTCTGGAAGGAGAGTTTACAGTCTAACCAGACACCTAGATATTTGTAGTTGTCCACATACTCTAGGTCAGACCCGTCGAGAGTAGTGATTCTAGTCGGGTGGGCGGGTGCAAGCAGCGTTCGGTTGAAGAGCATGCATTTAGTTTTACTAGTGTTTAAGAGCAGTTGGAGGCTACTGAAGGAGTGTTGTATGGCATTGAAGCTCGTTTGGAGGTTTGTTAACACAGTGTCCAATGAAGGGCCAGATGTATACAAAATGGTGTCGTCTGCGTAGAGGTGGATCTGAGAGTCACCAGCAGCAAGAGCGACGTCATTGATATACACAGAGAAAAGAGTCGGCCCAAGAATTGAACCCTGTGGCACCCCCATAGAGACTGCCATAGGTCCAGACAACAGGCCCTCCGATTTGACACATTGAACTCTATCTGAGAAGTAGTTGGTGAACCAGGCGAGGCAGTCATTTGAGAAACCAAGGCTATTTAGTCTGCCAATAAGAATGCGGTGGTTGACAGAGTCGAAAGCCTTGGCCAGGTCAATGAAAACGGCTGCACAGTACTGTCTATTATCGATCGTGGTTATAATATCGTTTAGGACCTTGAGCGTGGCTGAAGTGCACCCATGACCAGCTCGGAAACCGGATTGCATAGCGGAGAAGGTACGGTGGGATTCGAAATGGTCGGTGATCTGTTTGTTAACTTGGCTTTCAAAAACTTTTGAAAGGCAGGGCAGGATGGATATGGGTCTGTAACAGTTTGCATCTAGAGTGTCACCCGCTTTGAAGAGGGGGATGACCGCGGCAGCTTTCCAATCTCTGGGGATCTCAGACGTTACGAAAGAGAGGTTGAACAGGCTAGTAATAGGGGTTGCGACAATTTCGGCGGCTAGTTTTAGAAAGAAAGGGTCCAGATTGTCTAGCCCAGATTATTTGTAGGGTTCCAGATTTTGCAGCTCTTTCAGAACATCAGCTGTCTGTATTTGTGTGAAGGAGAAGCGGGGGGGGCATGGGCAAGTTGCAGCGGAGGGTGCAGAGCTGGTGGCCGGGGTAGTGGTATCTTGTCAGTATATCCATAATATTTGCTTTAACGCAGAAAAACACCGGGAAATAGAATCACTTCCTCATTCGTCAACACTACGTTATATGCCGTGAAGAAAGGCACACTGCCGTCTAGCGAAATATTAGGGGTAAAAGAGATTATGTAATTTATCTGCAAAACAAATACAATTGAAGGTTGATTCATACACTGAGTATAGCAAACATTAGGAACACCTTCCTAATATTGAGTTGCAGCCCCCTCCCTCAATTCGTCGGGGCATGAACTCTACAAGGTGTCGAAAGCGTTCCACAAGGATGCTGGCCCATGTTGACTCCAATGTTACCCATAGTTGTGTCAATTTGGCTGGATGTCCTTTGGTGGACCATTCTTGATACTCACGGGAAACTGTTGAGCTTGAAAAACCCAGCAGCATTGCAATTCTTAACACAAACTGGTGCACCTGGCACCTACTACCATACACCATTCAAAGGCACATAAATATTTTGTCATGCCCATTCACCATCTGAATGGCACACATACACTATCCATGTCTCAAGGCTTAAAAAACCTTATTTAACCTGTCTCCTCCCCTTCATCAACATTGATTGAAGTGGATTTAACAAGTGACATCAGTAAGGGATCATAGTTTTCACCTGGATTCACCTGGTCAATCGATGTCATGGAAAGAGCAGGCGTTCTTAATGTTTTGTGTATACTTTTGACTCGATTTGCACCTGATAAGCAAACAATCACTGCATAGATGAGGTAAAGGAGTTGGCGCACATTCAACATATCGGATCAAACAAAGTGAATATCCGTCAAATCCATCATGATTTATGTATTATAACATGCCCACAATGCGGTTGCCTAAGTCCGATTTTGATATATTTTGGGCTGTTTTCGCTGCATACCATGTAGAAGTTGCCCCTTTTCAGGTTTAAAAGAACTGACTGCTAAATGCTAACTCCCGTTCGTATAAGCTTGTTAGCATAGCTAGCATATAGAAATTGGTGGTGCTAGTCAGTCGTTTTTAACTGTACTAATGCAGTTGTTTGGGAACGATGACATGAACATATGTTGGGGTTGACATCCATACAAGCATTATACTCAGATTTTTACCTCAACATAGTGTGAAATACACTTATAAACAATAGCCTAAATGTATAGCCTTTCCGCCACGCTTTTCCATGGCAATTCCATTGTTTTGGTCTTGGTCGAGTTTGATTGACCTCTACCTCATCTATGAGCAGCAGGAATTAGGGTTGCATTGAGTGAGGCAGGGAGGAGTTTATTTTGAAGGAAGGTCATTTAATTATGCCTCCAGCCAGGGCCATTTAAAATTAATTTCTAAATCCCTTTTAGCAATGTAGGATAATCTTACCCTCTCCAATCCATTAGGGTGGAAATGTGCAACTGACCTTGTATTACTGAGTGTCTAGGGGAGCAATTCATCCACTCCTCTGCCCATGCCCTCTTTACCACCCTCTTTCTCGTAACAAACTACACTGGACTGTAGACCATCAACACTTTCACTTCAAATTATTGGGATTGGATTAGTTCAAACAATCTCATGGAATCCTTGGTGATGTTGCAAGTTGACAGATGAAAGTCTAAAATGAGGCAGGCTGCGAAGACAAGTTGTTATGAGCATAAATCACATCAACTCTTTTACCTTCAAGTGAAGATGGGCTCAACTGCCACATTTCAATGGAGGAACTGTGGGTCATAGGCACAATTATAACCCAGAGCCCTTCTCACTATGATTCCAAATGAGGCATGCACAAGAATCTCTGTAGTGGTTGGAAAAAGAGAACTTCAAAGAGTCCCGTCTCAGCTGAACTGAATCCCTTTTCGACAGCTGCACTTCGATGCCATACCGGAAAAACAAACAAGCCAATAAACTGGATTTTGGATAAGACTATCAGACAGACAAAGATCAGTGACACACAGCGGGCCATCTCTCAGGCATCATCTTGGGTTAGAGTATTTGAAAGACATATAACAAATGCACTTCATCCACTACCAATGTACAGTAGTGCACTCACCTGGGGGATGCATAGCAGCCATTACAGTATGTGCCAGATTGAACACCACATGTCAGCTATCACAGGAGAGAGATTCTGTCCATTTAAATTACAGGATAATTGAATGGCCATTGAAGATATGAAAGTGGGGCTAGATTGGGAATCATGTTGAGGATTAACAGTAACACCAGGGCTTGAGTTTGGTCGCTCCTGAACGACAGCATATTTCACAGGGCCGTGTCCCCATCACTAGCCTGGGCCACTGATCCCAGCATCTGTCTGATTTAGCCAGGGGGTCTCCCATCCAAGCACCGACTAGGCCCAGCCCTGCTTTAGCTTCAGGTGAAAAGACAGCTGTGGGAGGCAGGGACCAGGGTGGTATGGCTGCTGTTGTATTCAATGAAAACCTCATCCCACACAGATAAACAATTCAAATGTTAATATTTATCTAGGACTTGAGGTAATATTAGGAGTTTAAAGCTAAAACTTTCCATTGCTGATAACTGGTGCCTTATCTCCTACATACTTTTTCATTTAGTCAGTAATTGTGTTTCGACCTGAAGGCCATAGGCATTCATTCTCACTAATTAGCCTTCATGACACCCCTAAGCGCCGCTATGACCTCTTCATCAGCTAAAGGGCATGACGTCTGCCTCACTGCCTGGACTGTTGTCTGACACGGAACCACTTACCAAAATAAAGGAATAGCTGTTTTGTTTCTTCAACATATCCTCAAAGTTATAGGCCCTCGTATTGCAACCAAAATATACTTATTTCATAAAACTGAATACATTTGTGTTTTAACAAGAGGAATCATGTCATGAAAAGGCTACACCAGCTCAAACAAACATCAGTAGATCAATGGGCCTATTTGAAGCACACTTTCAAGATAGATCTAAGGAGAATTAAAGCTTGAATTAATCAGAACCTAGCATTGTGCTTTTCTTCCTGTATGATTTAGTATCTGCAGTAGGAGAAGGGGGCAGAAAGTCACACTCGCTAATTAATCATTCATACATTAAAACTTGGAGATTAACTGCAGCGCAGCTTTAAATGATTTCATAATACATTGATATTAAATTCATAATTAAGTTAATGTCGTACTCGTCTCCAGTCTCTCTCTCGCCCTTTCCTAGCGTTCTAAAAGCTATCATGCTGTGATGCGTATCTAAATACGGATCCATATTTCAGTTGCCTACAGGGTTATGTTCTCACACAGCCAGGGCATGTTCGTATCCAAGCCCAGAGGACATCCCTAATGTGATTGTAGTCCTCTGCAACCGAACACAAATCACACCCCTAGCCTCAGGCTAGCCCACCATCTCTCTCTCTCTCTCTCTCGCTACGCATATGTAACGCTCAGGGGGGTCCTATACTCTTGGTGCCCAAAGTAATTAGTGATTTTAATATGCTTAAGAAGTAAGAACCCGGGCTTGATGACGTCATAGTGGATTCTCCCTCCAGTGCTTTCCTTGTGTGTGAATCCACATTCTGATCAACAACGTCAATGTATGATACGATGCTCTTCGATCCTTTTATTGCTCTCATCTTTCACAGTGTGTGTCTTACTGACACTTGCCACAAGCCTTGTTTTAATGGGGAATTGCACAGGGAAGCAGTGAGGTTTGTGGTCTAGACCCTTTGTGAGGTTAAGCAGGAAACTCAAGCTAATGGTGTGCTTGGGGCCTCATTCTAAGTAGAGCGGAGGATGTAATTCTGCCTGGCTGTGGTGCTATTAAACCTGTTAAATGATAGGACAGCTAAAAGATTTCCACCTAAATAGACATAACCAAACATAATTATTTTGTCCGTAAACAATAACTGCTAATGTTGCATAGTTTTAGAAAGGTCTGGAACTCACCTTTCTGGTAAAAGTAGTTATAAATTACTGAGGTGTACTCACTTTTGTGGACACAAGCTCAAATACGTAGTACAAATATTATGAAAATATGAAAAATCATATATGATTTCTTTGGGGCTTTCTGGCATTGGGGCTTTCTGGCATTATAAGGCACAGGACCCTAAGGCGTTCACAGAGTGCTTTGTACACACAAATGTCAGTCAGAACCGGCCCAGAAGCGCTCAAAATCTAAGAGGTTAATTAACAGAATGGATGCCATTAGTGTTGTAGGTGATATTATTTGGTCTGGCTCTTTATAAAAAAGCTTTAAGAAGTGGTTTTGGAATGTTTCCCTGCAGTATTTTCGATTTAATTTCACTGCAGGCACAATATGCTCGCTATAATCCATGTAGATACACCAAGTTTAATCAAAGGCATAAAATAAAACTAATAACTATGTTTCCTCTCCAGATAGCAAAGCACACTTAGCACCAATCATTAAAGCACTGATTACCAAATCCTCTTCATCTAGTGAAATGGCCTACGGAAACGAGACAGCAATATTATCCATGTGGTATTTCTTTCTCCCCATTGTTTACTGGAGCCCTCTTTCTTTCCCAAGCTTTGGAGAAACCACTGTAACAAAAGTGATAAAAGCCCCTCGGTGGGACTTTGATCTTGTCTTGTTGAATATTCCCTGTGTGCAGACTCCAAAGATATCATTACTTTGAACCATTAACGTGATAGCATCAAGTGCACCCTTCACAGATCTCTGTAAAGAGAAGGGTGCTGAATGAAGACATCAGGAGCAGCTACATTTCTCTGATGTTCAGGAGGAGAGATTCAGGCTCGTCGGGTATAGTAGGTGTGGTTTAAGAAGAGTGTTGAACTTAACATCTGGTGGGAAATGAAAATATTCCCATTTGTCACCTTTCCTTGGCCTGCGTCATAGGATACAACCAATCTATATTCTTGCTACAACACACCATGTTGGTTTCTAGTTCACATTTAGCTAAGGAGTCTGCACATCTGTGGTTTGCTATTACAAAGGTTTGGGACATCAAGTAAAATGTACTGATATGACATTGGAAATGACAAAATGACCACATAAAGCTGTATGATTACGATTTATTTCCGTTTGAAAATATACCCATAAATTTATCATATGAAAACATTTATACAACCTTTAACATTGTATCACAACTGGATCACACATGTTGACACGCACATCCCTGCATTTACAAAGTTGCCCTTAATACATCCTTTAATATATATCTTTTTTTACAGTTAAAACATTTCAACAAAAACACCACAACTTTCAAATGTCATCAATTAAATACCCAGAAACCCCTTTTAGCCGAAGGGAGGCTTCCGGACATGCCAGCTTGAAGCATTGGGATACTAAAATTAGAGGGGATACAATTACAACCCATAACTCAACAGGGCTGAGATTTGTCCTGTTCCAAGGAGGACATTGGTCAGTAAATCTTTGCTATTGTGTCTAGTCTAGTCACTGACCATTTCTTTTATGTTACATCAGGGGAATTTGCTGGCAGGAAAATCTGCCATTGTTTTATAAGGTAATAAAAGGGGATTTAACATACAATTTTTATCGTCTGTGGTCTTTTTCCAAGCAATAACCAACATTTTCAGCTGCTACTATTTCTTCAGCAAGAAGTTGTCTTGTGTTTTTCTAGTGCTTTGAGCTGAGATCCCACTTAAAGTTGTAAATATCATGTGTATAAATGTTCCTTGAGTTGAAGCTTGATTTGCTAAAATCCCTCTATGCCTATCTTGAGGTGGTACGAAGGGAAACAGTGACCTAGTTGAAAATATATGCAACAGGTCTCTTGGATATTGTTTGGAGTGATTTGCATGTGCTTACAAACATACGTTATTTTACTGAACAGTGACAATACTGTTGTTACAATGAATGAACGAATACAAAGGCAGGTAAAACAACTTTGGACCCTATTATCCTTGATGATTACCCTGTCACACAACGAAGGCAGTACACATACACGCACGCACACACTCACACCTGCAGCTCAGATGGGTATTAGACATAATATACTCCAGACATGGCAGAGCAATGATAGCTCCACTGTCATCTCAACTTATCCCCTGTCACTCCCAGAGACTTCCTTTCTCATCTTGGTGTCATGGCGAGTCTACAACATCATTAGTCATCACATCACCAACTAGCACATGCCCAGCGGTGTATCACTGCATCATTCTCATATTGATATGTGGATTATATAGTATTATATCCAGTGTATTGTATGATAACATCATTTTATATAAACACGTCCACAGTATCATCGTTAACTTTTCTATCAACATGTCCACTGAATCACTAGATCATCTTCATATCAACACCACTATATCGGTACATCACTTCCATTTTCACGACTCCACTGTATCAAAGAAACATTTGCAAAAGATATGCACTGTATTTTGTTTGTTACTATCATATGAGTTGGTCCGTTTGTAAAATTAAATCATTTTCATGTTGACTCGTCTGGGCCCGC